AGAGCAATAATGTATTTTTAATATCTTCATTTGTTGCCAATTAAACAATAAATAATTTAATATTATGATCTTTTATTTCATTTCTCCAGTGGTATGCAGAAGCATCTCCATTCTACAGCTGTTGTGATCTCCCTGAGAGGAGGAGGGAGGGAAGTGAAGAAATTTGAATTTGAGAAGAATTCAATACTAGACATCAGCTCAAACAAACGGTTGGTATTTAATGAAGTTAAGTATTTGTATCTTTTCTTTCTTGTTCTGTTTCATAGTGTGGTAGTCATTGTCCTTCAGAAGAGATTGGTCCTCCTTGATGCTGGAACTTTTGAAAAGAAATGGATCATAAAAAGTAAGAGAGACACTTAAACCTTTATCATTATCTCTCTCTCTTCCTATAGCTGGTTACCGTGGTTCAGAGCTATGGACTAATCCTATAGCACTGGGAGAGAGATGGTTGGCATTCTCTGATTCAAAGGTACAGTACATGTACATATACATATAGTATCAGTTTATTTCACAAATTTTAATGTACATTGTCAATGATATATCTACATGTACAAATGTAGGTTCATCCCCACCTGCTCTCGGTTGGGGGCGTGTCAGATAGACTCACTCCTCCTGTGGCCTCTACTGTAGTGAACACGGTAAAGAAAGGATTCAACGCCCTCTGTAAGTTAACATATTCTATTATTGACAGCTGCTCTGTTTCCCTCCATTAGCTGATACACTCAGTGGACTCACTGGCAGGAACTCATCACAGTCAACAAGGACCACACCCTCTTCTGGTGAAGTGAGTATACTAAGATATACAAGAGTTTACTGGAATTTTCTTTTTAGAATTCTCCTCCTGTCGTTACTATACTGGACATTGAATATTCTCGTTCTGGAGAAGTGAGTTCTATTTAATGCCCAGTGTATTCTATTTAGAGCCCACTACCAGGTGCAGGTGAGTGAATTGAGGAAGACTGATGGTGTCTTGGCCCATTTCCTGTCACACACTATCAGTGATACATACATTACTATGCTCAAATTTAACAGAAGGTATTTCTAACCAGCTGCTCCTGTCTCTTAGTTTCTTCTCCTTTTAGTGGTAATATCTTGTTTTCTGCTGATTCTGAAGGACAGTATTTTAACGTGTTTCATATCTCGCCAAATCTTCTTGGATCAAGTGAATGCAAAGTTGCCCATCTTTATTCTCTATACAGAGGAACAACCACTGGAATAGTAAGAAAGAGAGAGAGAGAGATTATAGTTTCTCTACATTATACTATGCTGAAAGTTTGAGTCTATTTTGATTCAAAGCTTATTTGTTTTCTTCTTCTTTTCCTTCTTTCTCTCTTCCTCTTCCTTTAAGGTTCAAGATGTCAGTTTCTCTAACGACAGTCGCTGGTGTGCTGTATCCACACGTAATGGTACAACTCATCTCTTTCCAATATCACCTTATGGGGGTAAGAGAGACAGATAAATCAAGAAGTAATGATGTACATTAATTATTATTATTGTGTTAGGTCCAGTCACAGTTCGTACCCATAAGGTATCTCACGTGGTCAACCAGTACAGTCGGTATCACACCAGTGCTGGCATTGAAGAGGCAGGGACTGGAGGAGGAGGAACTTTTAATAACGGAGGAACATCACCACTGATGATACCTTCACTCCAGCAAATAAAGCAACAGTACCTACCAGGTCAGTGAGACTGTGAAAGAATTCAATACTGTGTATATAATACTTTTAATATGCTTTGATTGAGTGGTATGTGTACACATTCATTGCTAATACATGTTCTTTATTAATAATATTTATACTGTTTTAGGTTCCAAAGGTAATTCACTGGTCAGTGATGATGGCACTGATTACATTTGTGTGAGAGCTCACTTTGCTCCCATAACAACGGATAATAACATTAACTCACTTAAACTTATCGGTAAAAATCACGCCAGTAAATAAGAAATTATTTATAATAATTATTAAAAGATTTTACAGAGAATAAGGCAGAGTACTCTATCTACATACTGGGGGGAGACGGTTCCTTGACTGAGTACCTACTGGAACCAATTGAGAGTACTAACAATAATACTGGGGCCGGAGGGGGCGTGGTCAACAAGAGTGATGAAGAGACTCAAATCGGATTGCAGTCGGCACCTAAAATAACATGGAAATTATTGAGGTATGGGCGGAGTCAGTATTAATTTTATTGTTTATTATTAATTAGTAAGCCGTTTGATGCCCCTCCCACTTTAAGTGACGATAATCATCTGATATCACTCCACAAACTTCATCAGGAAAAGATGCAATCGCTCGGTAACTCAGTCACGTGACTTATAAATTAATTATTTTATTTATTAATTATTAAGGAGGTGGTTCCATTTTCTTACCCGATAAAGAAGGCTGGCTATCACAAGTTGAGTTACTCTCATATGCTCCGCCCACACGTC